GCCCATCAGCCACAGCCCCTTCTCCACTCCCTACCTCTGTCCCACTGTTGAGCCACTGTTTCTCACTGCGGTCTTTGGTGACCCCCCAATACTGGTGCTCCTTTTTCCATACCCACCCTCCAGATCCCAGGTTGTCCCAGGTCCATACCCCCAACATGCTGTCTCCCTGTTCGGACGCCTTCAGGATGAGGCTGGACTCGCCCAGGTCACTGTGCAGACCCTGCTGCTTCTCCTGCCTTCGCCGGACGTGCCACAAGCCCAGAGCACCCAAGGCCACCAGGACTAGCAAGGCCAGCACGGGACCCAAGATCAAAAGCAGGTAGGGATCTTTTGGCTCCTCCGAAGGAGTTTGGGTGGCTGGGGAGAGAGGGATATTGAGTCCCAGCTCCACCAGGCCAGTTCTCTTGACCCCGAGCCAGGTCACTCTGACAGTTAGACCCCCACATCCCACCTCCCCACGCCCTCTTGGATGCGGGAGAGCGGCAGAGCGGCAGAGCCACTCACTGGACATACCCTCCAGCTCCAAGGACACATTGTGGTTGCAGAAGGATCGATAGCAGCAGTGGTGATTGAAAGACTCTGTCGGGCGTCCCAAACAGAGTTCCTCGTTTATGTTCCCGCAGCCCCGAGAGACCTGCGGGTGCCCTCCCTGTTCGCGGACCAGCACCACTGTGCACCATGCACCCTGGCAGGTTGGTTTCTTGCAGTGTGGGCTCTCACAAGTGCAGTTCACCAGTCGATCCCTGGAGGCCTTTACCACACCTCCTGGAAGACACAAGAGAAATCTAGCTACTTCCTCCTACTGTCCTGTCCCTTCTGGTCTCAGGCAAGCACTCAGGACTTGGTCTTGAATGCCACCTACTCGCTGTCCTTCTCTAGGCGCCGTACCCCAGCTACACAGGCAGTGGAGACTGTGAGAAGCCTGCTGTGGTCTACTGCCTGTGACGGGATCTCTTCTCCCTACTGCAGGTCCTGCTCTGGTCCCGGACTCCCCCTGTTCACACCGCTACTGCCTCCACCCAAGATGTAGGTTCTACCCTGCAAGGAACTTCAGCCCACAAGTCAGTATCATCAAGATAAAGAGGCGACTGGAGCTGGCGAACAGGTCTATAGGAGTCACCATCTACCCTCCTGCCAGACTCCTGGGGGACTAGCCCATAGGAGTCATCGTCTACCCTCCTGCTAGGCTCTGGGGGACTAGTCTATAGGAGTCACCCTCTGTCCTCCTGCTAGGCTCCTGTTCTCAGCTCCTCAGATCCAGCCCCAGTCAAAGCTGAGCTGAGCCCAGATGGCCTTCCTCCATTCAGGTCCCTGTTTCCACACTGCCCCTCCCATACTCACCCTTGGTTAGGCCCAAGGCCACCAGCAGCATCAGAAGGCCCTTTCTGGGGATCTCTGAGGTCATGGTCCTTGGAGATAGGAGGAGAGATGCGGTGAGGTCTGTGAAATGTGACAGCCGTGGTGACCAAGGTACCCTCCTACCAGGAGGAAATCACTGGGAGTATTTCTGGGGGGAGGCAGGGAAGCCACCTCCCCACTCCTACGTCTGACTTTAGGGCGGGGCCTGCAAGGGAAGTCCTGCTTCACTTCCCCATGGAAACCATCTGTTGGGGGTGAAGGGTGGAGAGCCAGAGGGCATCCCGGCTCTGTGCCCCACTGCTGAGTTCTGACAGGAGCAGGCTGGGGGTGGCAGCAGCGGAGGGTCACAGCTACAATGGGAAGAACATGTCTCTCCTCGCTCCCCTCTGTCCTCTGCCATTTGCCAACCGCTCCAGTCTCCACCCCTGCCCACCCTTTCCCAGTGCCCCCCACCCCCATGCCTGGCTGCTTCAAACATAAACAGGCTCCTGTCTTCACTTCCTGCCATTCAGGGTCCCGCCAGGCCGGCAACAGGAATCAAGATTGTTTAGATTGAAGTCTGGATAGGACGGGCTGGAGTCACGCACAGCAGGGAGCCCAGGGCAGGCACGGGATCTAAAGGGGGCACCTGGAGCCGGGACCTTACAAACCACCAACCCCAGCTCCAGTTTTATGATCTTTTAAAGTTTCATTCATTATTATTGTGTCTGTGTTTAAGGGCCCCCGTGCCAAGGCACAAGTGTGGAGATCAGAGGGCAATTCTGTGGAGTTGGTTCTCTCCTCCTGCCTTTACATGGGTTTTGTCACCAAGTTTACCTGGCAAGCATCATCGCCTCCTTAGCCACCTCTTTGTTCCACTTCCCTCCCAGCTCTGGTTTTAGAGGAGGGAGTCAGGCTTCTCCAGGGGAGGAGACTGGCCAGGCTCCACTAGAATTGTCTTGCAGTAACAAGAGTCGAACAGGAGTCTAGAACCCCTCCACCACTGTTCCTTCTTCCCTGGGTCCTGAGTCAGTGGTGGCAGCCCCTGCCTGCATCCCCAGGCTTGTAGCAGCCATGCACAGCCTGCCTATGTCTAGGTGGAAAGAGTCTGTTCCCCCTCAGAGCCGCCTGGCCCCTCTTCTCTCTTTTGTCCTGGGAAAGGGTGTGGGAAGAGTCAGTGGTAATGGGAAGTGAAACACACTTGGGCCTTGCGAAGTCGCCTGGTGTTTGACGCTTCAGAAGTTGGATGAGCACTGGGGAGAAGGGTATTCTGGTGCATGAATGAAACTCAGGACCCAAATCAACTAGGACTTTAGGAGCTGTACCAGCCTTCACTTCACCAAGCTTCCCGGACCAGAGGGTAGGTGCTGAGGCTGCGCAAGAAGGGCAGAAGTCAAAACACAGACTGTCTGAATGGCAGATGTACAGGTTGAATCTCCAACTAGGGGAGCTAACACATGGAGTGATTTACGATAAGACATGAGAAGGGCCGGACATACGTGTCCTGTGATGTGTCATGAGAAGGGCTGAACATATGTGTCCTTATGATGTGTCATGAGAAGTACTGGACATAACATGTCCTGTGATATGACAGGAGAAGGGCTGGGCATACAGTCACATAGACCACAGAGGCCTGTGTTCTAATCTTGGTACCAAACGAAGATCCAAGATGCTGAGGCTTTGGGAGCAGGATGTCTAGGGTCAGGCTGGGGGGCTTGGTGGGTCTTTCTGGCTAGTGGCAGCCCTGGCCTTCCTGCCTGGGTTTCCTCTGCTCCAGAGGCCCGGTCTGGGGGAGGAAATAGAGACCTGGACTGCAGCAGCTGTGTCCCAGCCTCTGCCTGACCTCTTGCCTATTGCCCTAGCGAGAAGCCAGTTAGGATTCTGATAAGCACTCTGCAGGGGTCCTGAGGATAAATGCTGAGGGCCTGTCCTGAGGCCATGGGCAGGAAGCCATTGGTGGCAGACTTCACCTGCCCAGAAAGTAGCTAAGGAGAGACCATGAGGTGGGAACTGGCAAGCAACAGGACATCCTTCTGGGACATGCTACCAGACTTCTGCCTCCCTAACTGCCACCATGTACCCCTTGCCACTCTACTGCATATCAGAACTTTATGCAGGGGGTTAACTATATAGATCCTTTAGTCTGTCACCCAGTCTGTCTGAGATCAGCAAGAAATGTCCTTTGAGCAGGGTACAGTGGTAATGTGCCTGCGATCCAACACTCTGAAGGCTGCGGCAGGAGAACGGGGAATGCCAAATGAAGAGTTAAGATGCTGAGGCCGGCCTCAGTTACATAACAAGACAGGACTCCAAAATTCAAGAAAGAAGGGGATAAATAAATAAATAAAAGCATGTATTTGTAAACAGTTCCTCAGGGAATTCTGAGCCATCTGGGATCAGATGCACCAGGTTTAGAGAAAGATGTCTGGCATAGAGCCAAACCTGTCTCCTTTGCTTTCATTCATTCCACACTGCTGGGTGGGTGAACAGGGGCCACAGAGGAAGGGACCCTTAGTTCCTTCTAGGTGTCTCCCCATCTCTCTGGGAAGAAAGCGAGTAACCCAAGACTAGGGACTTGGTAATGCTGCTGTGTGAGGGTAAGCGTGGGTGTGGGAGAAAAGAACGTGCTCTAAACATTAGCAGTTTAGGGGAAGGTTGGCCGTCATGTGGAAGCCACTCCTGGTCCAGCCCTGGGAATGCGATAACACGGATCCAGTCCCATCTTGGGTTAAGAATGGGGCAGGGGCATAATCTGGATCTTAGGGTTCTCTTTAACTCCTTAGCAAAATTGCATAAAAGACATGTGGACAGAAGAAACACTGCTGCTGTTGGCCAGAAATCACAAGTGTCAGGCGACTTTCAGACATTAACTTAAGGCAGGGAAATCATGGCAGGCAAAGGGCTCTGGTTCTTACTCTGCGGGCACTGAGCTCTCGCGGGTTGTCTCTGCGGAGCCTCACAGCTCTCCTACAGGAAGTGGGTGCTGAACATGACTGGGCAAACATGAGTGGTGGACAGCAAGTCCTTCCTCAATCATTGCTCTTTCTATCTGTCTGGAGTTAGGTGAGCCCAGGACAAAGGTATCTCCGGTCTCAGCAGACATTAGCAATCTGTCCCCCTGGTGTCATTGACTGGTGCTCTCCTAGGCTTTCATTGCGTACTGTTGTCATGGCCCAGAAACTGTCTGTTCTTTGCCAATTTCTCAGTGTTTGAGCCTCAGGTGTGTGCCTGGATGGTGGCTGTCAACCTTTTTCCTGCTTCCACCAGCAGCAGGACTCTCCCACACTGGTTGTCCCAAGGCAGAAAAGTGCTGTGAGGAGCTCAACTGTCTTCCACACTCAGCACTCACTGGGTGGGCCTCACAGACCCAGCGTTCAGATGGCTGCCTTCAGCATTTGCCTGCATGGTCTATCAACATGATGGTGGTGGGCTATAGCAGAATAAGCCTGGGTTTTAGAGTCTTAGGCATCTGCAAAGTGGTATAGTGCAATGGTTCCCCCTCATCTGAAGTAAGGCATCCCCAAACCACACTGACAGGGCCAAACTGCACGTCCTGTTCCTCTCTACTCATAACAAACCCATACTAAAGTTTAGCTTGTATGTTGACCACGGAAGACATTAATACTAATAAGAAAATACTTTGTCCTTTAACTTAAAGGAAGCACCTTTAGCTTCTCCTTGGTGTATCTGAGCCGTCAGCGTCACTGCGCTTGCGCTTTGGGCCGTTAAGTGAAACAAAGGTTACTTGATCATAAGCACAGCGATACACAGCCAACCTGACAACGCTGACAGCTACTAGGTGACTAACAGGCAGGTAACACACACAGCATGAATCCATAGACAAAGAGATGATTCATATGACCGATGAGACGGGGACAATAACGAGATCTCATGACACTCTGGAGACAGTGTAGATTTAAACCTTAAAAACCCCTGATTTCTGGAAGCTCCTGCGAACTATTTTCACACCGCAGCTGACTGTCAGTGACTGAAATCCCCAGCAGGGAGACTGCAGATAGAGGAGCCTCCTGTGGACACTCTGGCTGACCAAGCCTCCACTGCCTTCAGCTAAGGGGTTGGCACAAGATCTTGTGCCATTCCCAGGCAAATGCAGAAGTGTAACTTGGCAGTATGTGAAGTGGCGTGAAAGATGCACTTGGTGTTACTGAAGCTCAACCATCGTCGGGTGTGGTGGCACAGTCCAGCGCTCAAGGGCCTCCTGAGGCAGGAGGATGGAGAATCTGAGGCCAGTTCTGTCTCAGAAAGAACAAACCAGCCATGATGTCTCCTGGTCTCATTGACCAAAGCCTGAAGCAGGCTTCTCTTCTACAAGCTGGGTACAACGATCACCTATGGTACATAGAGTACTACATGCTACATAGAAAACTACACGCTACATAGAAGGATAATTGAGAAGGTAGGTAGGGGACAAAGAGAGTGGGGGGGGGACAGAGAGGACAGACCCTGGCTGGCACTGAGGCCGCTCATAAACAGAGGAGTATGCCTAAGAAAGCTGCCAGCCCGAGCAGGCCTCTCCAGGATGGATCCCAGCCTGGGGGAAAGGCTGGATTCCCTTTCGCCTGGATGTAAAAGACACCCACGGCAGGGGAAATTTATGACCTTCTAGGGTTAAAGGTGAGATTTGGGATATGGCCTTGTAATGACAAGTTCCTTAAGCAAGAGCTGGTCTGGAAAACGTGAGGAGTTTCACGGCATGGGGAAGTCACCTCTAGGTCAATCCAGCACCCTGGAGGGGCATGGGAGCTCCGGAGGGGAAGAATCCTTCGGCCCATTTTATTTTCTCAGATAAGTGTAGAAGAGAGAGTTAAGTGAATGGATCAGAACTGGGTAAGGAAAGCTAAAGGCCTCAGGACACCTAGCAAGAGTAAATGTTTTTGATTCCCCATCCGAATTTGTCCAGCTCCCTTCCATTCTCAGGTGGGGTAACAGGCAGGTGTGTGTCCACAACCCAGGGTCTGCTGGCTCTCTTATTCAGGTAAGACTGAGCCTTCCTCGCACGAATCTCAGAGATCTCTGAGAGGTCGCTGAGATCTGCGCGAAGGAAAAGTCCACTGAGACCAGGGATGGGTCACCCTGTGAGGCCCAACGCGACCTCGACTCACCTTTGGAAGGTGCGGCAGGACCCCCGTCTCTCCTCCCCAGAGGCGGCTGGGATCTCACGTCCAGAGCCGGTCTGGAGTCGGGAAAAGGCTCAGTCCGCGCAGCTAGCGCGGCGGCCTCCCGGGACTGGGAAGGGGCTGGAGCAAAAATGTTTCTTATTCTAGCTTCTTCCTGCCTGGCCCGGCTCCACCACTCCCTCCTAATAACCCGTTTCCTATTGCCCAGCACGCCTCCCGGCCGCAGGGCCTGGCGCTCCAGAGGGATGCAGACCTCAGTGCGGCCGCCCCAGCACCCCCTCGCCCCGAACTCGGGTCTTGGGGTCCCGTGGGTCCTGGGCAGGCCCGCGGGGACCCAGCCGATAGCCGAGGCATCAGCCTGGGCTCCTAGAGGGGATGAGGGTAGCGCTCACCGAGAGGCAGAAACCTCGATTCCACAAACCTGTCCTCACCTACCTCACTCCAGGTTCTCAGGGAACAGCGCAGTGAGAGCTGAGTTTGGACTGGGAGGGTTTAGTCAGTTGGCTCCGCCCTTTGGGACTTCCCAGTAAGCCTAAATCTTTCTGCCTCCAAGCTCCTGCCCCTTCACCCTTACTACTTTTGTTCCCTTCCCTCTTCTGCAGTTCTGTTCATCAACGTTCAGCTGAGGGCTAAAGAGGTCCAGATTGGTCCAGATGGTCTTAGTCTCATCCTAGCCCCCGAGGGCTTGGCAGTTGCGCTCTCCATCAGTGAAGGCCAGAATGGAGCTAGAGGTTGCTTTGGAGTTTCTGTCCATTTGGGGTAGGAATGCAACCACGAGATACGGGGGTGAGGGTGCCACCAGATGGACTTTAGAACTTTGGGCATGGAGCCTCCTGAGGCTGGGACATGCAGCTGGGGTGCGGGACAGAAGGACTCGGTGTCGGTGATAACAGTCTTCTTCCTAACCCCGCTGCACAGGCTGGGACTGTGGGGAAGTCTAGGCCTTCCGTGGCAGGACCTGAGCTTTATTCTTAGCCTTGTGAGCGTCCACCCCGACTCTGAAGTACATCCACCGACTGAGAATCCAGGCTAGTTGCTGAGACCCTAGGAACACCTCCAGGGCCCCATGTGTTAATGAACATGGTACACAGGGGACAATCTTACAAACAAAAAAGATGGTGCCTATCTCGGTTCCTTAGTCTGAGCCTCTGGCAGGAGTAGAGGCTGGGGGGAGACGATCTCGGACTCTTTCTCTGCTGAACCCTCATCCTCATACACTGCAGCAGCTTCTTGGGTTGTGAGTCTCTTGAATTTCCAGAGCCCCAGCAAAGAGAGTTTCAGCCTCAGGACAGACTGCATGCAGCCAGAAGGAATACTATGGTTACAGTCTCTGTTTCCACGTTGAAGAGGCCACTTTGTTACTCTCTGTTAGCTGTGGAATGGAAGCCTGGCTACACCGCAGTCTTCACACTGGCTCTTCCTCCTGCCTGCTAGGGCTTTGGACCGCCCTCTCTCACTCTCCAGCCTGTGTGTCTCTCTCTGTCTTAAGGAGTGGGAGTGAGGGCTCTGGGACAGGACCCATGGGACCTCTGTAGCCCAAGTCCAAGGCCTGGCTGCTTGGGAAGGCGGAGCCAGGAGGTCATGGGTGAGGTCAAGAGCTCCACAGTGACTGCCTAGTGTCAGTGGGGTGGGAGGGTTTCTGTGGCCAGGCCTGGGAAGTAGAAGGGAGAGAAGCAGATTTAGGAGGTAGGAGGGAAGGTGTGGTTAGGGGTGGCATCTCCCCCTCCTCTCAAACTTTGGACCCTGGCTGGTGCATTAGCAGCTCTTGTGAACCCAAGCCTCCCACAATGCACAGGGAACCTAGGGGTTTGCTGTCAGAGGAGGGACACGGAGTTGGAGAATGTCCTCAGGCCAATGAGGACATAGAAAAGGAATTACAGGCTCTGTCCAAGTCGACAAGAATTCATTGCTCATAGAGCCCAGCTGTTCCCCACATTCAGCAAGGACAGAACGAGATGAAACAGACCCAAAGGATTCTGATTTAGATTGTGATGCACAGAAGGACTTCCCAGCAGTGCCTGAAGCAGAGGTCTGCAGATCCTCAGAAGTGCAAAGATGGAGCTGCTGTGGCCTTTTAGGGTCAGCTGTGTGCATTAAGTTCTTTTTCTTCCTTCCTTCCATTCTTCCTTTTTTTGTTGTTGATTTTTTTGTTTGTTTTATGTTTTTCAAGACAAAGTTTCTCTGGATAGCTTTGGAGCTAGACCAGGCTGACCTCGAACTCACAGAGATCCGCCTGCCTCTGCCTCCCAAGTGCTGGGATTAAAGGTGTGTGCCACCACTACCAGGCTGTGCAACAGGTTCCTAATTGTATGGTTTTTTAGTGTGTTCGTTTTTGAGAAAGATCACTAAAATCTTAGGCTTGCCTTAAACGTGAGATCTTGCTGTTGCTACCTCCCCAGAGCTAGGATTTCAGGTGCTTGCCCTCTTCAAAGAGACCAAGGCCAGGCATGCTCAGAAGTTCGGGGTCGCATGCTCTTATGCTGCCATCTTGAAACTCTTCGTGTTCTTAATAGTGAAGGCACCAGGGTAGGTGGGGAACAAAGCAAAGGAGGAAAGAAGCAGGGAATGAGCTGGATTTTGTTGCTCTTAAATTATGGAATAGAAGAGGTGTAGTTGGGTAACGGGGCACTTTCCCAGCATATGTGAGGCCCTGGGTAACACACACATAGAACACACACAGACTCACACACACAGACGCACACACAGAACACACACAGAGACACACACACACAGACGCACAC